TTGAAATTGGGTTTTAGAATACCCTTCTAATATATTTGCAGATCATTTCCATATCGCGTATAATCCTAGACTGTATTTATTTTTTGGTTTTTCTTTTATTTTGATTTTATACATTACATTCTGTCCCGACATATTACACATTCATTTACCACCCTGATCTATCTTGGCACTAACCTATCTGATACTCTCCCAAATTCAGATGGTAACACCGGAACCACAGAATCCACAATATGTTGGAAAACTGGAAAGACAACCACAACAATCCACAGTCTGTTGGGAGAGTTGGAAATCAACCACAACTACCTCAGATGTCGAGACAGTTGGAAAGTAACAACCACAGAAGTCCTCAGTTCGTCAAGAATCAACCGGACAGAGTTTCGGTACAGTTTACATTTATCACATGAACAAGGAACAATAATCATACCATTTATGTCACTTAAGCAGTAGATTTAGGGTTAAGTATATTTTATTTAGCGAGAATAAAGATATAGGGTTATTGGTGAAACGAATTTTATGGGAATCACGAAGGATATCTTCCCTCAAGGGCGAGAAGCCTTTATTATATGCTTTCTTTTAATTAGGACACGCTATACATGGTTTGAGCGATATACAGCTTTTATTGCTTATACTGATCCAAATGCTTATTATACTGATTACATCCAGGATTCCCTTTATCACCATTAAACAACCGATATACCGTATACAGTGAATACAGCGTATACAGGGTAACTTTATTTTTAGTAAAAGATCGACATATTTGTGGAACCGTTTATGAGCCACTTCGATTGACAGTTTTCACGTGATTCCGAATTTACGATTCTGCGGTTCACACTATGATAAAACCAGATATAAAAAATATATCCGGATTGAGATATTAACTCTAATTCCGGCCTAATTTTTTGTCATCGCTCTTAGCCAATCAAAATCAAGGATCTGCACATTTTTGTGCGACACCTAGGTTCAATTATAGCGCATATAAAATTTTTTCACGAAAATCCTGGGCTAATCTCGGCCTTGCTTTAGACCCTGAAAGTCTATTTAATGGAGATGTTGATTATTGAAATAATTTTTATAGAGCTTTAGAAACTGCTTTTTTCGAAGAAAAAGCCTTTGTTGATATATGGTAGAGTTGGGTAACGAAACCCGAAACTATATATAAAATCCCGAAACCCTTTCCGAAACCCGAAACCTTTTCCGAAACTTTATACTATACTAAAAGGGTTAGAATTTTAATTTTAGACTTTAAGACATAAAGTACATGATAATTAGATTGCATTTCAGAAATGTTTTTGTTACTTTATAGTAAATGTGCATTAGTTATTAGCATTCTAATTTTAAGGTTTCGGAGAGGTTTTGGGTTTCGGTGCCCAACTCTAATATATGGTCAACTTATTGACTGAGAACAGTGTATTTCCTGCTGTCATTTATCTGCACGAGCATAATAGTGTATTATTGTGATTATGCACGGAATACCCTAAGCACAGGACAACTTTAACTTAGATAGGAAGTACCTTTTGCACCTTGATAATTGTTTAAAAGATGAAACTCAAGCCGAACATTTTAAAAATGAAATGTTAAGAATTATTGAAATAGTGGAACGAAATAGGCTAGTCTAAAAGGAAATGTGGCAGATTACGAGAATGACCACAACCAATAAATAAGGTGCATAATGCGAATCATAAACATCATTGGAAGTTATGCTGTATGCCGACAAAGAAGGGGCGTTAAAGCCTATCCGCAATACCACAACGTGTAATAAGTAAATTAATCACAACAACATAAGGAAATCATCAAATTAAAATTGAGTTTGTAAAGGTTTCAGTGAAATTATTCAATATATAGTACGGCAACAACATTTTCATCCTCGACTCTTCTAATAAATTAACAATATTCGAACTATTTGCATGAGAGAGATCATTGATTACTCTAATAGTATTAACAGCTTTTTTGAAAATTCTATGAGCATTAAAGCGACGAGGTGGATCACCAATTTGATTAGGCAAAGGTTCACAAAACCAGGAATGATTAAGTGCTTGATGAGCAGTAAAACGGCTATCGGGATCTACATTTAATAATTTTTGCTATTTAAAAATATTAGTTTATAAAATTTAAAATTAAATTAGATAATTTTTCATAATATATAATATCAATATTACCTCTTTCAGATATTCTTTGCCAGCATTCTTGAGGCTCGAATCTATAATCAGCTTGAATTATTGCCATCAATTCACCATCCCCAAAAGGAATGTTACCACATAGTAAAAGTAAGTGATTACACCTATAGCCCACATATCTACATGTTTACCATGATCAAGCTCTTTAAGGACTTCAGGTGCCTATAGTGAGTTTTTTATTAAATTAATATTGATAAAGGAT